TTGTTGTTGCTGCTGTTGTTGCTGCTGCTGCTGTAACATGGCCTGTTGTGCCGCCTGCGCTGCCTGGGCTTGCTGTCGGGAGGCCGCGGACAACGTCTTGAGCTCCGTGATGATCTTGGCAGACAAATTCATGAACGAGAACCCGTCCCCCTCCACGCGTTGGAAATCGAGAAGGTAGATGTTCTGCTGGACCTGAGAAAAGGGAGTGCAGGCAGGAGAGGGGTTAAGGAGGATGTAAGGGCATGACAAAAAGGACGAGCTCTGACGATATCATTACACAAAGTAACAGCAGCTCTTTGTTAATTTCTCGCTAGCCTTCCCATTCACTACCTTGTACAAATTCAAGCCGATGATAACCGTGTAGTCATAATTCAGAAGGGGATTCTCCGCCCCGATATCCTCCGCGTCCGGGTCCACGGGCCAAAAATCATGGTCTTCCTCCATGGCCGCCTCCCCTCCTCCTCCTCCCGAGGACGACGTGCGCTTTCTCAAGGCCAATGCCCCGGGCCCATGTCCGCTGGGCCACCGCCCGCTTCCTCTGGAGGTGGACGCCTGTCGAGAGAGCGCCCCCAGGAATTGGGGGTCGTGCACGGAAGGGTGGGGTTGGAGGACCACGGCATTGGGGCGCCAGCGACACTTGAGCCGATAGGAGGAGACGGCCGACCACTCGCATCTTAGCTGAAGGAGGGCCTTGTAGACTTCGGTCATGACATGGGCCGGGTCCTTCTTGGACTGGATGCCCAGGTACCAACGACGTTTCCTGGCCGCGGCCGCGGCGGCTTGTTGTTGATGGAGGGACGTGCTCCCGGAGGATAAGGCAGTGCCGGAGTTAGAGGCCGAGCCAGACAGATGCTGGGGCGTGACACCGCCGCTGTTGCTCCCCCCGGACCCCGTGCCCGACGGGTTGTGACGCGCGAGGGCCCGCGAGGCTTCCTCGGCAAGGCGTTGCTGGGCGGCCGTATTCTGGGAAGGGGTGGTAGGAGTCATGGAGCCCGAACCGGGTGTCCGGTGTTGTTGAGGGGAGAAAGCCGGGGGCGTGGCGTCGTGTTGGGTCTGCTGCATGAGCATCATTACTTCCGCCGTGCGCTGCTTGGCTTGCTTGTGGTCGAGAATGATCTCATACGCCACCTTCAGGTCATGGCGTTGGTTCCGGCGTTGGATCGCGTCCAACACCCGCTGCCAGGTCACGCCTCGGAAAGGGTAGGAGCATACCGCCCGAATGCAGTCCTCGTCTATCACACGCTCCTGCTTCTCCATCAGTTCTGGAGGAAGGCGGAGGTAGCCGGGAAGCTTGTGCTGGTACCAGGGATGGAGACGGATCTCGGGGATGGTGATCCTTTTCATCGGGTCCACCACCAGCATCCGAGGGATCAGATCCCGGGCAAGCTGCGAGAGGTGGGAAGGCAGGGTGTACATGCCGCTTTTTATCTTTTTGAACAAGTTGGGGATGCTCTCGTCGTCGAAGGGGAGGGAGCCGCACAGGAGGGCGTAGAGGATGACGCCACAGCTCCACACGTCCACCTCAGGACCTGCGTATAGGTTCCCAGAGATAACTTCGGGGGCGGCGTAATTGGGAGAGCCACAGGAGGTGCGGAGGAAATCGCCGTCTTTCATGATGTTGCTGAGGCCGAAATCGGCGAGTTTGATGTTGTTGTCCTGGAAGGAGGGGAGGGAGGGAGGGAGAAGTGGGGAAATAGGGGAGGAGGGGAGGAGAATCGGGAAGACGGTCAGTGACGCGCGGGTGCCCGTACAAATGTGTCTTTAACGCCTTGTCCTTCGATCTTGGCCCCATTCCCTCCCTCCTCCCCGCTCACCGCGTCCAGGAGGAGGTTCTCGGGTTTCAAGTCCCGGTGGACGATGTGATGGAAGTGGCAGTACTCGACTCCGGAGATGATTTGGTGGAAGAACTTCCGCGCTTCATCCGCGTTTAAACGGCCTTTGGAGACGATGTAGTCGAAAAGCTCGCCATTCGGGACCTGGAGGAAGATGAGCGAGAGGGGCAAGTCAGCTCACGGTCCTGGG